CTGAAGTGTGTTTTGTTCCAATCACTGTTGCATGTGATTATGCAGAGCTGCGTGTCGACTCGTCAGCAGCAGCTGATCTCTCTCTCCCGTCAGATTAGACTTCACTCGCGTTTATGTCCATATCGATCAGATCTAGCTAGTTCTAGCTAATGATATGACTACCTGCTTATTAAAAGACACCTAAACAATTAGCGGCGCTATGCAACCGGGTGAGGTCATTTAATTTCCAAATGTTGTTTCAGTTCATGTTTTAAAGTTTATCTTAACATATTAGTTTCCTGAAAATGGCTTGCTTAGACTTCCCCCTCATATAACAGCAGGTTCCAAAAAAACAAGAATGAGACCGAGAAAATTGCCAATGTCAAGGCATTAAAACAATAGGCTACAAACCAATTTATAACGTCATTGTTACCTTGTCATCTTCTATACAGTATTATCCTAATAATAATAATAGAGCACTCTTTATGGTACTCAAAGACACATTTGTGATTTGAATGAAGACAGATTAGTGCAGTCACAGATCTGTCGAGGGAGTTCAAGAGGGAGGGTGCAACTATGGAGAAGACTCTATCGCCCTATTAGGTCTGGTGCTTAGTCCTGTGAAGTGGAACCAGGGTGATGGTGTCTTAGGGGGCGGAGGTTGCGGGAAGGAGTGTGGTGATGGAGCAGTTCATCGAGGTAGGAGGGGTCCTGGTTATGGAGGGATTTTGAAATGAATGCATTGAGGGGCGGGGAGACAGTGGAGGTGCTGCAGGACAGGGGTGATATGGTCACGGGAGCGTGTGGGTGAGGAGACAAGCAGCAGTTTGGATGTACTGAAACGTGTTGAGGAGTTTGGATGGTGTACTATAAAGGATGCTCTGGCAGTAGTCGATTCGTGATGAGATGAAAGCATAGACTATGGTTTTGGCAGCAGAGAAAGATGGTTGTGTAATACATTCATGCTTTACTAGGGTTGGGTACTGAAAATCAGTTCTTATTCAAGCGGTCCGGGAAATGTAGCGAGCACAATATTGGGGTTGGGAAGCGAAACTCGGTACTAATTCGGAAAAAATCTTCTACCAGGATTATAAGAGTTGTGAGGACAGGAGACCAAGCTCCATGGACAGCCGGTCTCTCTCTTTGCTCTGTATCAGCTGATCGCTGCACAGCAATTGTGCCCCGCTCTCTCACTCACTCACTCACTACACACAAAGCGGCTCAGCTGCACGTAAAAAAACACCCTTCATCTTTATCAACCCATCTTATGTTCTTTCTCTAACACGTAAGGAAGGTTATTAAACGTTTTAGCTCTTATATTGTTAACCTGTTAAGCCCCAAGCCTGTTTTTCAGGTCTCAGACTCGAAAATGACATTCCCAGAACAAATGACTATAGGTGCTTTCACACCGGAGTACTTTTCCCAGGAATAGTTCCGATAGTTCCTGGGATTTTGCGTTCACACCAAAAAGATCTGGAACTAGAACTTTTTTTTTCGGGAACCTTTTCACCACTTTTCAGTCCCTGCTATGGTACGGTGGTACTTTCCTGGTGAGGAAAATGTTTCAATTTCTGATTTGATGGGCAAATTGCAAACAACTGCGTGTAAAACTCCGAAATGTTTTGTGAAGCTGCCTTTTTATTTGCTCACATTATCATTTTTAGCATTAGCCCAGCGCACCAACGGAGAGAGACTAACTTATGGCAACACAAAATAAAAGGAGGTGTCGGCACTTCTGGCGATTTACCCGGGACTTCGGGTCGCAGTATACGCCGTGAAGTTGTTTGCGGTCTGCCATTAAACCCAAAGCAGAAGAAGAAGAAGTGACATCAGCGGCTTCATTTGCGTAATCCTCCCTCAGGGATTTATTCCGGTGTGAACGCGATCTACTAGATCAGGGGTGCCCACACTTTTTCAGCTTGGGAGCTACTTTTAAAATGACCACGCCCAAAAGATCTACCTACAGGGCCGCCCCTGCCCAATCTGTGTCGCAAGCGCGGTGCTAGTTGACTAAATGGTGGATAAACTCTGGCGTGTGAGAGTTTACAGAGTTTACCTGTACGTCAATCAAGTGGCAAATGCCATAGTAAGGATGGATGATAGGCTAACTTTAAAAAATAAAATATATATTTTTCCTTATTTATTTTTTAAATGCCATGCGATCTACCCCACACTACCTTTGCGATCGACCGGTCAGAATGAAAATAGATTTTTTGAAATACATTCAGATTGAGCATGGTAAAAAAATCTAAATGATAGTGACCGTCCAAAAAAAAAACATTACTTATAGTGAAAACCATCCTTGAATGATGGGATAGTAGACTAAAAGCTTTAGGAATCCAAACTATAACATATAAGTACCCTGTATCAAGATTGATGCAAAACAAGTGATATTTGACCTTTTTAAGAGAGGTTCAGCAAAAGAAATTTGGGTGGATTTGCCATATCTCTGGCGCTCCTCGGTTGATTTTGATGATTGACACCTCTTTTGAACCGTTAGAGCCAATAGGATCGAGGGGAAGTTCCTAAAATCCATCTAAACATTACCATTGAGAAGTGAGAGTGATGCGCAGGCAGTTTGCCCAAAACCGGGGGGATCATTGTCCACAAGTTAATCGATCGCAGATGGCGTCGTGGTCACGGACGAATACAAAAAAAATAATACAAAAAAAACGTATTAAAAAAATAAAAAAAATAAAAAATGGGTCGCGAAATATACTTGGGCGGCCGTTAATATACCTGGGCGCCCCGCCCAAGTATAGTCTATGTGTGGGAAACCCTGGGTCTGTGATGTATTTTGTGAAACAGAAGAACAGCTAAATAAATGCAACGGCCTCCCAAGAAGAGCTCGCCTCTCTCCAGTCATTTAAGCTAAAGTGGGTTATTGAACCTGAAGCTTGTTGCTTCTGCCCTCCTCGACTACGGTCTGGGAGCCGACAGGAAAGTTCAACACACAGATGGCCAGTCCGCCCCTTTGTAGCATATTATTTCGATGAGAGATGAGCAGATCGCAACTGGGCTTTCAACTAAAGACACAGCCACGCAAAAACTGCGGCATTTGTACAGCTCCTTATCGGTACTGCAATTTGTGAAGTGTTTTCCTCTGTGGTGAAACGATCAGCACTGCACCACGGAGGAATGCGGCAGAAAGTCGCCTGGAGTTAAAGAGAGCGGGGCTGCGTTGCGTGCATGGCTTCCTTCTGCAGGTAACGGGGAGACGTGATCTGGCGGCGGTCTCGTTCAGGATCGGAAAATACAATTTAAATATTTTGCACACTTATTCCACTTATTCCTAGTGTGCCACTGGTTACGGTGCCAGGGGTTGCCGACCCCTGGGTTAGGGTTAGGGTTAGATTCCACAGATTCTAGAGGTATAAGTATAATCACTGTGCGACCAAAACTCAGGGCAGCGAAGGCAAACCCAGACAACACACAACGTAGCTTTACGGCCAAAACGGCAAATATGTCTTACCTTTGCTGTTTTTCTGATTCCAAGTTGTGTTCAATGGCACTAAAACGATAAAAATGCTGCTGAAGGTTAATCCAATGTGTCTGTGTCACGGTACATCCACACAGCAGCGTTAAAAAAATCTTGGAGGTGGGCGTATCTGAAGCTTGGGGATTTTTTGCAAGCAACGCGACCAACAACCAATCACATGAATCTCCCGCCCCCGACATACAAACCAATAGCAATGTTAAAACGAAGTAAACTGGATATAAAATCCCCAAACAAGCGAAAACCTACCAGTTTCACCCACTGTCTCTGCCACCTCCCTCCATGCCATAAATAGGGACTGGTCATAAAGAACCGGGTGATTTGCTACCGCAATAACTAATTTCTCCTCCATTTTGTTAGAAATATAGAAAATGAACTGCGGTATGTCACTCCCAGCTTACACGCGGTTTGATTGGCTAGCGCTTGTACTGTCAGATTTGCATAAACGGGATTTGATTGGCTGATGCTTTCACCTCAGCTTCAAAAGTTGAACATTGCTCAACTTTTGAAGCCTGAGATGCCTGGAAATCTCCGCTTTGCTTCCCACAATGCAGTTCGGTGTAAAGTGACGTCACCCCATTCAAAGTGAATGGGCAGAAGCGTTGGAAGATTTTTTTTAACGCTGCTGTGTGGACGGGCCGTCACTTTGAAATGATTACTGATAATCCATCATTCCATTTTTGTCAAAAACTGAGATTTCATATTAGCTGCTATGCGAGCTACAACCCAGCTTCCGGTTTTGGGCAAACTGCGTGTGCATCACTCTCACTCCTCAATGGTAATGTTTAGATGGATTTTAGGAACTTCCCCTCGATTCTAATGGTTAAAAAGAGGTGTCAATCATCAAAATCGACAGAGGGGGGCCAGAGATATGGCAAATCCACTCAAATGACCCCAAAGGTGTTTTTGTTGTTGTTGCTAAACCCCTCTAAAAAGATAAAATGTCACTTGTTTTGCATCAATCTTGATACAGGGTACTTATTATGTGTTATAGTTTGGATTACTAAAGCATTTAGTCTACTATCCCATCATTCAAGGGTGGTTTTCGGACGGACACTATAATTAAAAAAATGTGTTTACAATGCTCAATATGAATTTACTTTAAAATAAAAACAATTCTATATTGATTCTGACTTTTCTACAGCCAACTCACAGGTTTATAATTGCTTTGAGAAAAAAGATTATGAATGTACCCCTTTTTAGAAGTGAAGTTATGGTAATTTGTTCTGGGAATGTCATTTTCGAGCCTGAGGCCTGAATAGCAGGCTTGGGGCTTAACAGGTTAAAGGAGTCGTACAACATTTGACATTGATATTTTACTGCCATCCATATTCTTTTTCAGATTAGGTTGTGATTTAATTAAAAGATCTGTAATCCGAGCTAGCATAGGTGTTTGTGTGGCACACGTTTTCATTTTTTGTTTTGTGTGGAGGAATAGCTAGCCACCAATGCAATTTGTTTTGGCTTGTAAAAATAAAACTTAGTGATAGCGGTAATAATGATTGCATTTCTTCCCCCTTTACAGGAAGCCTGCATCGATGTGTTTCGAGATTTAGATGCTAACAGATGTTAAACACCAGGTGAGTGTGTACTCATTTTTGTTTTTGAGAGATGCTTAGGCGAAAGAAAAAAAAAAGAAATATATAGACTGACTTTGTGTCACTGTTAGTTCCAGAAACTTCCAGTCTCCAGTACAGCCAGGATGGATTTACGGATCTTATCTTTGAAATCCTGGCCCGTGAACACATACAGCAGTGGGTTTAGGCAACTGTTTACAAAGGCCAGGTTGGTTGCTATAGGGCTACCAATGGTGATGACATGGTCTAATATTTCACTTGCATGATATACACTATATACCAAAGGTATTGGGCCACCTACACATTACACCTACAGGAGCTTTTATGACATCTCATTCCAAATTCTTAGGCATTAAAATGAAGTCTCCCCCCCCCTTTTCTTCCACTCTTCTGGGAAGGCTCTCTACAAGATTTTGGATTGTGTCTGTGGGAATTTTTTGCCCATTCATCCAGAAGAGCATTTGTGAGGTCAGACACTGATGTTGGACGAGGGGGCCTGGCTCGCAATCTCCGTTTTAGTTCATCCCAAAGGAGTTTAATGGGGTTGAGGTCAGGGCTCTGTGCGGGCCAGTCAAGTTCTTCCACATCAAACTCATCCAACCATGCCTTTATGGACCTTGCTTTGTGCACTGGGGCACAGTCATGCTAGAACAGAAAAGGGCCTTCCCCAAACTGTTTCCAGAAAGTTGGAAGCATAGAATTGGCCAAAATGACTTGTAAGATGAAGCACTAATGCCCCTTTCACACCAACGTGGTTCCCGTTCTAGCTCCGTGCTAGAGCTTTTCTGGTTAGGAACCGGTTTTTCTTTTCAGCCCCCCATTTGTTCACACCGCCCAGAGCCCGACTGGTGCTGCCGCTGCTCCGTCATGACGTCACCGTTTACGTCGCTGATTTTCTCCCCAGCGGCGTCAGGTCGCTGATCGTGTTGCTTTTAATCATACGAAGCCAGATTAAATTAAATAACTACTTCTCAACCCTTGTACTTTTCTCCAGAGTGCCGTGGTTCATTGTTTATTAATGTGTTTCAGCGGCATTTACCGACCGCTGCAGTGCTGCCCGCTGTTTTGGCATCACTACGCTGTTATGAAAGTTTCTCTGGTATAAAATGGGTGATGTTAGCATAGCAACCGAAGCTAAATTGACTATCTTGACTACTTGTTGCTATCTTATTGTGGCATAAGCCGGCACATTTTACCGGCGTATTTTTCATTATGATTCCACTTGTGATAGTCAGACATGAGTCATGACAACCTGTGCAGCCCACGTATTGATTCCATCCGATAGTTGCTATAATACAAAACAAAATGTCTGCCTGCTCTCCTCAATGATCAATGACAGCGAACGGATGGTCAAACAGAATCACACTAAGCACAGGGTTCGTACGGGTGCTGGAAATCTTTGAAAATGCTTGAAATTCTACGAGGTGTTTTCAAGGTTTGAAAAGTGCTTGAATTTTGGGAATGGTGCTTGAATTTGTACATGCTTTACTTCGCTTTTTAGATTAAAAGAAATCGGAGCTCCGCTGCGGTGTGAACAGGAAAAATCGGTGCTTTTCAGGCCCTAGCTCTAAACCGGCCCTCGGACCGCGTTGGTGTGAAAGGGGCATAAGAATCCCCTTCACTGGAACTAAGGGGCCTAGGCCAACCCCAGAAAAACCACCCCATAGCATTATCCCTCCTCAACCAAACGTTACAGTTGGCACAATGCAGTCAGGCAGGTAACGTTCTCCTGGCATTGGCCAAACCCAGACTCGTCCATCAGATTGCCAGATAGAGAAGCGTGATTGGTCACTCCACAGAACACGTTTCCACTGCTCCACAGTCCAGTGGAGTCGTGCTTTACACCACTCCATCGCACGCTTGGCATTTTTCCTGGTGATGTAAGGCTTGCATGCAGCTGCTCGGCCATGAAAACCCATGCCATGAAGCTCCCGGCGCACAGTTTTGGTGCTTATATTAATGCCAGAGCTGGTATGGAACTCTGCTATTGAGTCAGCAGAGCTTTGGCAACTTTTACGCACTGTGCGCCTCAGCACTCAGCAAACCCGCTCTGGAACATTTGTTGTGGTCTGACACTTCATGGCTGAGTTGCTGTGGTTCCTAAACGTTTCCAATTTGCAATAATACCACTTACAGTTGATCGTGGAATATCTAGGAGAGAAAACATTTCACAAACTGACTTGTTGCAACGGTGGCATCCTATTACCGTACCACGTTCAAATTCAGTTAGCTCTTTAGAACGACCCATTCTTTCACAAATGTTTGTAAAGGCAGACTGCATGGCTAGGTTCTTGGTTTTATACACCTTTGGCAATGAGACTGAATGGAACGCCTGAATTCAATGATTAACCTGTTAAGCCCCATCCGCCTGTCGGTGGGGGGGAAAACGCATAATCTGCAGGAAACAGCGTCTGAGGGCTTCTTAATATTTAATAAACTATGAATATTTCATATCCATGTAACGGGAAGAAACTCAACGAACTGATGATATGAACCATTTTTATCAAAAAAAAACACAAGGCTAACGCTGAGCCTATGAATTAGCTCTGAGCGAAAAAATGCTGACGCCCTTAGCACAGAAAGTCCGGTATAACACCCTTATTACTTATCGTAACTGCACATCTAACATATCGATTAGCATCGTGAGAGTACACAGAATCGAAAGGTATCTATAGAACTCCATGATCAGAACTTGCCACATTATAAACAAAAACAGACATCACAACACGTGGCATTAGGTAGCCAACACGGCAATATGTCTTACCTTTGTCGTTGTCTGATCAAAAGTTGTCTTCAATGGCATTAAAACGATAAAAACGCTGCTGAAGGTTAATCCATAGGTTAATCCAATGTGTCTGTGTCACTTTGAAATGATTTCTGATAATCCATCAGCAATAAAACTAGTTTTCAGTTTTCAGATTTCAGAGCGTAAAATAGCTTTCTCTCTGGGCAAACTGCATGTGCATAACCCCCACTTCTCAATGGTAACGTTGGTGTGTATGTGGAAATTCCCCTTTGATTCTATTGGCTCTAACGGTTCAAAAGAGATGTCAATCATCAAAATCGACCAATGGGTTCCAGAGAAACGGCAAAAACGCCCATTTCCACCCAAATGACCCCAGAGGTGGAGTTTTTTTTTCTAAACCTCTCTAAAAAGGTCAAATGTCACTTGTTTTGCATCAATCTTGATACAGGGTACTTATTATATGTTCTACTTTGGATTCCTAACACTTTTAGTCTACTAACCCATCATCCAAGGGTTGTTTTCACTATAAGTACAACACATTTTTTGGACGGACACTATAATTTACATTTTTTTACTATGTTCAATCTGAATTTTCTTTAAAATAAAAAAACATCTATATTGATTCTGACTTTTCTACATCCAACTCACAGGTTTATCATTACTTTGAGAAAAAAGATTATTAATGTTCCCCTTTTAGAAGTGTAGTTATGGTCATTTGTCCTGAAAAACAGGCTTGGGGCTTAACAGGTTAAGAGGAGTGTCTTAAAGGTCCCATGTCATGCTTTTCCGGTTATTACCCGTCCCCTTGTGTGTTATGAAGGTTTTTATGCATATAAACGGTCTGCAGAGTCAAAAACCCTCAAAGTACACCCTGTAGAGAGTAAAACTAACACAGAAAAGACCTCCCCAAAATGCCTCATTGGAGATTTCTCATGTTCTTCCTGGGCATTGTGATGTCTGGATACCCAGTAGCCACGCCCAGAGCTATGACGCAACACGGTCATGCGGTACCCGGAACCAAATGGACCAATCCGTGGAGCCGTTACGTTACGTCCGCGGAGCCGTTACGTCCGCGGAGCCGTTAGGTTAAGCCCCCGCTGATTGGTCCAAATTGACCAATCCACGGACTTCCTCACACACACACACTCAGTGCAGGCAGCTCTGCTGATTTCTCCTCCCTGGCTGCAGGCTGATAACAGACAGTTGGGATCGCGGCGAAATTCTCTCTGCAGACCCATTCTCACAGCGTTTATCAACCTTTTTCTTACTCAATATCAAGCCACACTTATTGTTTTTACTTCGGCTGTGAGTTTGTGTGTGCTCAGGATGAGTTTGGCTGTGTTTCGCTGTGTTTAGCTAAACAAGGAAACCACACCAGCACGGAGCTCAGCACAATTCACAACGTCCCGACCAATCAGAGCACACTGTGCTCACAGGGAGGGTGGGGGCTGGAGCTATTGGAGCTCCAACGAGCCGTTAAAGGCAGAGAGTGAAATTCAGTGAATACACATAGTTTACAGAGATGCTGTATGAGAAACCAATGTGAGTTTGGAAAATTTCACAATATAAATCTATTCTAGTAGACCTCAACAATGGAATTATGATCAGTGGAAATGGCCATGACATGGGACCTTTAATACTATCTATATAGTGCAGGGGTGCCAAACCAGTCGATCGATCGCGGGGAGATTCCCAGTCGATCGTGAGATGTGTCTAAAAATAGAACAACAATATTCTGTTTTATCGTTAATGTCCTATAACATAATCTTCCTGTGCCAGAATAATGCACTTGAACCGACGCATCAAAGCTTTGTGATTGGCCCGGCGTGACCCCATCTGTCGGGGTGTGGCTGGTGGGCAGTGGGCACTATTTTGCTGACGTTGTCCGTGTCAACCTGGTGTCAACAGGAGTGACAGTCCGCACACACACAAGAACGCAATTATGGCAGAAGCAAAAAAGCCTAAAATATATAATTTTCACTCCGAGTGGGAGGATGATTATTTTTGTATCCATTCAAAGTCCATCTGTCTCATCTGCAATGCGAGCGTTGCTTTATCGAAGAAGGGTAATTTAGGAGCGGCATTTCAAAACAGTGCACAAACGCTACGAGACGGAATTCCCTCCTAATTCTGCCCTACGCTCCCATAAGGGGAGGGGCCTGAAAGGACAGCTAAATGCACAGCAGTCCATTTTCACCAGGCCCAACAACAACAGCAAGGCTGCTACCATAGCGTCTTATCGTGTCAGTCACGTTCT